TGGCAAAAGTGTAGAGATTGCTGGACCCTTACTGTATATGAATGTATTATGAGCTTCCCAAAAATGATTTATAAAGAAGGTACCGTACTGAAACTACACATGGATTTCACGTATATATCTAAAGGTGGGTTTAATTCTGTAATACTGATATCTGCCATATGGAATGTATGTATGTGCTACTGCTGCAGTCGGATGGACATTGGAACTTCCACAGAAGAAATGTTTATCAAGTGTATAAATGCTTTAACGTTTGCAAACTGTCTTGTGAATGGACTGTCAACTGTACTGTAAAGTGCTATTACTGATTATGTGGTGAGCTTGTTTCTTGGCCACATAATATTCTTGCTGCTAAAATTGCAAGTGTTCAATTATGGATTAAAAAAAAAAGATGAGATAAAAAAAATTAAAAGTCTTGTTTTTGAAAATATTCAAAAGCGGTTAATATTTTATATGGAAATATATGTTCTTCATACTATTAACTATTAAATGTGTATTTACTGTAGGTCTTACAGAGCAGTTGCAGAGCACAATGTCTGTTATTCGGTGTGTATGTATTTACCCTATACTGTTGATTGTCTTAGAACATGCTTCTGCTACAGACCCGAATCCAGCGTATTTGTAAATTGTGTAAGTCATTTTACTTTTAAAAGAAACTTTGTAGCATATATTAAATGGTAAGGATTTTAAATATTTGTCTGTCTTTTATTAATACGGGATTTTTTGCTTATGTTGTTTATCTGCTCTATCTCTTTCAGTAAGAGATAGATGCCTTTAGTGATAAGAACTGTTCCACGACAGGTTATACAAGAAAGAAAATGCTGCTATGACTGTTTTCCTATACCATTCGGTGAGAGTTTGTTTTTAAGAGAAATGCAAGGTTAGCATTATGACTTACAGCACTGGGTGATCTGTTTACAGGGTATAATGAGTTTTTAATGCAGTGATGTTGACTTTGCTTCATACTGCTAATAAATTACACTTGATATAAAATATTTACTGAAGTCTCTGTTCTTTCCTAAAGCAGTTAACGCACCACACACTCTCGTACCCCAATAAACAGGCACAGCCCAGTACAATTTGGTTAGCCACCACCATGGCTTCAGACTGCTTCATCCAATCCAGAGGACATGGGCAACCTCCCACTGACACGAAGCAAGGTGGATCACCTGATGGGAAGGCAAAATCAGTATGACTTGATCCCTCAGGGGGAGTTTCTTGAAGACCCAGGGCAGACTTCAGAGATTTTTCCTCCTTGTCGTCCCCTTGCCTCCCCCTCTCCACTTGGCTTTTAGAACTTGTGGAGTTAGAAGTATCGATACCGAGATTTTGCTTGATTATGTATAGTTACAAAAATAGGTGTGTTTTTTCCCTGGATAACACAGTACATAACTTATTCAGCACCATCTGGATCACCTGCAAACTGGTAAGATTTCACAGGCAATGAATTATACAAAAGTATAAACCCTTTTTGTTAGACTTCTAGTCTAAAGAGATTCAACGACATCTCTTTCGGTTCCCTGGGTGTTTAAAAACCTCTCTCACTTTTGCTTGTATTTTTCCAAAATAAAGCAACTTGTAAACTCCGAAGAATCATATGAAAGGACAAAGTGGTGTAAAACTCCCCAAAACAATTGAATAGAAGGAAGTGCTCGTCACTGACTTTTTCCCCCTGTGAAGGCACATTTCCTTCCTAGCCTTCGCTTCACTTATCTGAGGTGCATTTTTTTAAGAGAAGCATGGGGAGTTGCTAGAGGGAAAATGGATTCTTTATTTCACGTCCTGGTTTCTACCTGTCTTGCCTTGACAATCTCAGGTAAGTGTCTCTCCCCACTTCTCCTCCACCGTATTGCTCTTTCTGCCGCCGAGCAGAGCCCTCCGGGGCAGCTGGCAGCCTACAAAAACCGACTCACTTCTTCACTTGGGTTCATACAAGAGGAACGGGGGGGCAGGGCCAACGTAGCCCATTCTGTTTAGATTTCTTTCCAAATGAAAATAAACTGTCTCCCTCTATGCTGGAGATACCTCTTCTGTTTTTTAAGATCTCCTGCTAGACAATCCAGGAGCTAAGCTTTGGGACAAGCTCTTCAAAGGGGGGATTCCTATTTTTTATTCCTACTTTGTGAAACTTCAAGAGCCAGGAGCTTTCTGTGATGCTTAGTTAGAAAATACTCAGGTCTGTAAAAACAGGTGAATGACAAACTTCAGTCAAGGGAAATACATGTACATGCTGCATTTAGTGCTTTGTAACAAATGAGGCTGGAAATGTTTGAGTAACTGAGATTATAAAAAGAGAAAAACTGAAACAAGATGTGGCAGGGAGGCTGCACTTGAAATATCCAGTTCCGTGTTCTGTAACAAGTACGGATTTTACGTTGGTAACTTCGGGCGGGTTTGATGAATGCTTTGTAGTTCTCTTCATGTGTGTGTTTGGTGTTGATCTTTAAGTGTGGTGACACAAAGAGCTCATCTAACATGAGTTAGGATGGTCACAAAACTAACAGCTAGAGGCACTGGAGTAAATCCAGTAAAATAGATGTACTTCCTATCAGTAAGGAGCCTCCATTGCTGTAAGAGCACAGGCACTGAGAGGCAGACAGATTTGGGAATGTCCTCTTATATGTTTTCTTCAGAAACACTTTGAGTTTTACTAAAACAATTTCCAGACAGTAAATTACATTGTAAAAAGACTGTGTTGTAAAATGGAAAAAAGACTTGTGTTGTAAAATGGAAAAAAGACTGAGAACTTGTGTAGATCTCTGTATGCTTTCAAGTAGGGGAAGTGGGGTATTTAGAATTGGGATTTAAAGTTAATAGTTCTTGGATTTCTTTTATATCCAGTTTAATTTTTTCTTCATTTTTATATAGAATGAAGGTCAAGGTGACCTTTGCCACAATAGTTGGCTTTTCACATTCTCACTCTTTACATTACCAGCACTTGCATCATGTGGGTTGTACGTTTGGGGTTTTTTAAAATAGGTTCAAAGCATGGAAAGTTCATGAAAAGTTCAACATACAGAAAGTGGGAAGAGAGATTACTTTGTTAATGTATTTTTAATCATCAAGAATTTGCTTTTTGTTAAATAACCACATGTAATCTATTGTATTTTTCTGGAATTTTCCTCTTGCAGAAGGGTTTCTGATTATCCATGTCCAGAAACAGCAGTGTCTTTCAGAAAAGAGAGGAGTCATTATGGAAAAATGCAATATGACCAACCTCAACCAGCAGTGGCAGTGGACGGCAGATGACAAGCTCCTCCATGTGAAATCCGCCCAGTGCCTGAGCATCTCTACACGCTCTGCCTTGTCATCTCGCAGCATCATCGTTGATTGTCCCCAGGCAGTCAGGTGGACTTGCCATGAGGAGGATGGGCTCCTGAAGGTGGCCAACAGCTCTCTCTTTCTCACAAAGCAAGGCCAGAAGGTAATGGCCAAGCAGAGTAAGAAATACCTTCATACATGGATGCAGCTAGAAGCCAGCGAGACGGGAAAACCTGTTTATGTAAATCTGTGCTCAAAGCAAGGTGAGCTACTCCTTCAGGGAAGTATCCTGGAAGTTTTGTTAACAAAAGTGTCTCTTTTATGCTAACTTAAATGTTAAAAATTACGATACTTTATTCATACAAAAAAACATTTTTCATAGTTGAAAATAGTTTAGAGAACCGTAAAAAGAACAGCTGAGATGAGTGCTGTCTTTCTCACAACTGGTAGATTTTTTGAGCCTTTTTATATTTTCTCTCCTTTTCTCTACTCCCAGTCTTGGGATCAAAGTGCTTATGTGTAAGCTCAGCTCGCCATTCTTGTCTCATTTCCTTTTTCACCTTTAAACAGAATTGTGGGTACTAATTCCTAGTACTTTTTAAAAATATGGATGTATAAAAGTCCTTCTCCTCCCCTTTCATTTTATCATACAAATCCAGATTCAATCTGTCAAGAGCAAGAAGACATCTGAAAATCACACACATGCACAATTATTTCTCTGATTAACCCAAATCCATGATTAGAACAGACATATGGTTGACACATTCACAGGTTTACACAGTGTCACTTTGCCCTTAGATGCAATACATATGAGAACACTCAAAATCCTGAAAATAATGAACTGAATCAAAAATCTTAGAAACTCTTGCAATAGCACTTTAAGATGCATGGGTCTGTGCACACACTTATAGAGGTGTTGATATACCTGTGTGGTTATATGTTTGCATATCCATAGTGAAAAGAAGGTAGAACGGTTTGAATACTGATTAATAACACTTTCCTTGATAGGCTGTTGTCAATTCTTCCTGATGGTACTGTTGACATTCTTCTTGCGCATTATTAAACAGGTCTTCATGGTAAATAAGAACAACCTGCGGAGTTAAGCTTTTTATTGGGGTACATACAATTTATTCTTGTCTTTAAAGGATTAAAAAAAATGTTTTATGACCCAGTGCTTTTGCACGTGGCCAAGTTTTCAGAGTGTTTAAAACAAATCCTTGTTCTTTCTAAACCTCCCATTTGTTGTAAGGCAGGGTACCATTTTTTTTCGGCAAATTTGCACTTGCAGAACTCTACTCACAGCAGCAGGCCTACTCACCTGAGTGGAAGTCTGAAAGGACAGCTTGCAGAATCAGGGAAAGGAAAACTGGCCAACATGCCATTCCAGCCCTCCCATATATTTTAGAGATTAAAAAGGCAAAATCATTTGAAGTCCTGTGAATAGGGTGAGTATGGCTTGTTTACTCCAAGACAATATGAAAAGTTAAGATGAGGTATGCAGGCAGTGTTTTTTTGTTTGGATAGCTGGATGAAGTGTGCCCTAACAGAGGTAAAGTAACCTTACATCCTTTTCTTAATCATCCTCAGAGCAGAAGCAATTTAAGACCAATGAATACTGAGTAAGATAATTGTCATGGGGTATTAAACCACCTTCTCAACTATTTACCGTGCTCAGTCCTTTAATGAATTTACCTTAATTTTCCTGAAATTATCT